AGTCCTATGAGAAACTCCAAGACTCCTCCAGAAAGGCTGTAATTTGTATTTTCACCAGCAATGAATGCGAGTTCCTGTGACTCTTCGACAGCATTTGGTGTTGTCAGTGTTTTTAGGTTTTAGCCAATCTAATAGGTGTTAATGGTATCTCTTTGTTTTATTTAGTAATTTCTTCATGACAAAGGATATTGAGCATTTTTTCATGTGCTTATTTCTATTTGCATGTCTTTTTGGTGGGAAGTATCTTTTCAGATCTTTTGCCCAAGTTTTATCTGACTTCTTTCTTTCCTTTTTGTTGAGTTTTGAAACTTCTTTGTGTATTTGGTCAAATGTTATGTTGCAAATATTTTCTGCCTATCTATGGCTTCCTTTTATTTTTCTTAACTTACTAGGAAATTATATATATTTTTTCTCTTTTAGGTATTCTGTTGTTACTTTCAGTTTGGACTTCTGTCCTTCTGTTCTGGGAATATCCTGTAAAATTTTCTAATAAATTCCTAATCTTAATACATCCCACTATATCTTTTTAAATATTTTATTTTATTTTTATTTGAAAGAGAAAGAGAGCTCAAGGAGGGCAAGAGCCATGCAGAGTGAGAGGGAGCCCAATGCAGGGTTTGATCCCAGGACCTAGGGATCATGACCCAAGCTGAAGGCAGATGCTTAACCAACTGAGCCATCCAGGTGCCTCCTACCTATATTTGTATCTTCATCTTCTGAAAGTCCTGTTGGTTTTTTTTTTAATCTCTCATATTGTTGTTTACTTACATCTAATCTTTTGTGTGTCTGTATATTTCTTAATAATAGTATTCTGTTCTTCTCTCAAAGATCTAGTATGATGGAGTATTTCATTAGAAGTATTAATTAGGGGATTGTTTTCTTTTTAACTTTTATTCACTACACTGAATAAGCTCTACTCCACCCCACTGATTTTCTTTTTAAAAATTAATTTTGGATGTGTAATTTTTGCATCAGTGGATTTAATCTCACCCCTGGTATATATTTGGTTATCCATTCTAATGTCATGGTGAGGGACCACGTATCTAGGAGGGATTTCCATGCACATAGTGAGATGTGTAACCTGGTCAATGACATTGTGCGTTCCTGAGGAAAGAGGTTACCCATGTCAGTGAGCAAATACTCAAATGTCAGTACCTTTTAGTTCTCTCTTTGGAGACAGATTTATGAAGATTCATCCTAAAATCGCCTGACAATGGAATATCAGTCTGGCTGGTGTTTTAGAAGATGAGCATCGACAATTTTTCTATGGGCTTCAATATTCAATAGGTATTATTCTACCAATCCCTCTCCATTATATGACCCCTCATTCCTAGCATCCTTTGTACCCAGTGCTGCTATCTCTGGACCATTGTTGACTCTGTCACCACAGAGACCAATCATTTTGCTGGAACTCAAATGGGTATTGTCTGGATACTCCAGTTCACAAACCTTACACACACCTTCACCTTTTCCACCATTTTCAGTGCTACCCTGTCTATAATACCTGATACAAAATTCCTGTGTTTGTCTGGGATTGTCATGAACAAACCATTTTCTCCTCATGCGTAGCATCTGTTGTGGGCACCTAGGTCTCAGAGTTATCTATCCCAGTTGCCTTTAGGTATATCTTAATGATCCATATTTATACAATTTGTTTATACATACACTGCCATTATTTCACAATATCTCTGTGTTGCACCATGATTTTAGTGAACTTTAGAAAGTTACAGAAATGAAAATATACATTCAATCTGCTGGGCTTGCTTGTAAATTGACACTTTCATATTCCTTAACTATATTCCTTAAATTTGTATTTTATTTTTAAATGAAACACAGAAAGGTACATATGTAGATACAGCTTGGCTACTTACCACAAACTTGACAAAAGTCTATAACCATCATTCTGACCAGAAAAGAGAGCACACCAGCATCCCCAAAGCCAATATAGATTCTGATTCTATAGGGCTGGACTAGAGCCCTAGAATATGTGTTGTCTACAAGCTCCCAGATGGTGCTGAGGCTACAGAACCAGAGTCTACACTTTCAGTAGAAAAGCTTTAGGACATCAATTTCCACTGCAAAGGGATTCTCAGCTGGGTTGGTATTATATTTAAATTTCTAAGAGAGTATTCTTAGAACATGGGACAATTTCCATTACTCATCAGGAGGTCTCTATTCATTCCTCTAGCAGATTCCCCCTTTTTGAAGTCACGACTGCAAATATCCTAGGAAAAGGAGACATAGAATCAAGTAGAAAATTGTCTAAGTCTATTCAACCGTAAAGTTCTGAGAGACCTATGAAAGTTAGCAGGTACAGTATATAGTAAACATCAGCCTGTGGATTTATTACCAGGAGATTATTTTCACTAAAAACATGTTTCCTCACTTCTAAGAATCACTAATCTCCCCCTTTCTGGACCTTAGCTTTTTGATGTGAGAACAAAATGAATACCAACGGAGTCTCGACTTTCTTATTTCCCACATCTTGCTTTGGTCACCTCACCCGACCTTTAGCTCTAAATATCCCTTTAGTTAAAGGAGCAGTGGACCATGACATGACAGACTTCCTATAAGAAAATCAACACGCATCCCTAAACTCACTGTGGCTGTTTCAATCGTGTTTCCCATCCACGCTGGGTGGTTTAGCATGACATCTGGTCAACTCTACGAGATTGCTATTTCTCACTGACGCTTTAGGCCACCACATTGACAAAGACCTCCAGAGACTGCCTAATTCTTGGATAACAAGTTTCTTACTCCTTACAGGTTGGCTTTCTGGAAGCTATGGGAGAACCTCTCTCTTGTTTCTAAAAAGGCTACAAAGTGCCAGATGGTGCTTTTAACATCTGTGGTAGGTCCATCAATTCTCAATGCCAGAACCTGGGCTGATGACTCTAAAATTGCCTTTCCTCCTAAGAAGGGCTTTACTTGACTTTGTGTTACTGCTCCAAGATAGAGTCCTATGTAAATCAAATGTTCCTAACCTGTTCCTTTCTGTATAAGAGCCAGTAATCAGCAGATGTATTTTCTTCAGCTTCCTTCACTCATTTTCCTTCCTTTTTCCCTCTTCCACTGGGTCGTGGATTTTAAACACTTTGAAGGTTTTCACATGTCTCATCCTTACTGTACAAAGAGTTCTAAAGCTAGCGGTGATTTCTGAGTGTGTACCAGATATTTTCACAACCACTGTTCACAGCTGTTCTTTCCCAATATTTTGGCCCATGTTCTACAAGTTGCCATAATCTGAGGTACAGATATTCAGAACATCTGTATGAGTACTAAATCTTAAAGTGAACCTTCCCATTCACCAAAGGAAACATGATTCTTCAGCCAGTGACTCAATGTGTTACATATGTCACTATTCCCTTAACTCAATGTTAGTTCATGTCGGTACTCCCAGCATGCCTGGCTGGCGCAGGACAGGTCTCACTGCCACCGAGGCTCCATTGCTTCCCCAAGATTGAGTTAGTGCTGAGGAGAGGTGATGATGCACATTCAAGACCTTGAGGGGAAACTTGTCTAACCACTGAGAGACAGACATGTGCCTTGACATGGTCTGTGAGGCACAACATGACCTCCAAAATTTCAGCAGCTAGCTACTGTTTTCCTGCTATAATTGGACCATATGACTCTTGTCAAACTGGCATGTTCCTAGATGCTTTGTTTTCTGCAGGAACAATCTGCCCACTTTTAAGCTGTTGGAAACTAAAGCCTAGTCTTTTGCTTTCTATACTGACAGCTTAATTGAGTGGAGCACTAAAAAGGAGGGAAAGAGAGAAACACAGGTTTTTAATGCAAATCTAAAATACATAAATTGAGGTCTGTATTGAAAGAATATTAAGCAATACTTACTTCTTTGATGGAAAATTGCTCTGATGCATTCATTTGTTGAATGCTATTTAGCATTTCCTCCTTTAGTACATAAGAGATTATAGGAATATTAAACCAACATTCCCCTGTATCTCTGCGCAGATAACTGATTTCTTTCTTGCTTTCCTTCTTTTGAAAATTGAACTAAATTTTCTAAATTACTAAGAAGGAAAACTATTTTTTTAACTTAGAATCAATCATAAGAATAAAGTTTTATCACTCAGAATATTCCACTCTTTAGATTTAAAAGCAAAGAGTTTGGAACAAATTCTTCTTCCAGCTCAATGGCAATGGAGTCTACATATAAAACATAACAAGGGAGGATTCTGATTTTAAGGAAACAGGGTGAAAATTGAATTCAAAGTCAAATTCCATTATATGTCCTCTTTATACTCTATACCTGCACTGTTCAATATAGTAGCAACTGCTTTGTCCAAGACAATGTCCTTTTAACATTTAAATATAAATTAACTGTAGTTAACAGGAATTGAAAATGTACTTCCCCAGTTATATTATCTACATTTCATGTGCTCAATAGCCATATGTAGCTATTCTTATATGTTGGTCTTTATTATTCTGTATTAGAGAACATCCTCATCATGTTAGAAAAATTCAGCTGGGCAATTCTGGTCCATATAGTTATCACAACATGTCTGCGAGGTGGGTACTTTCCCCATTTTGAAGATTAATTAACTGAATCTCAGAATTAAAGAAGTTCCAAGTTATCCACCTTTGTAACTGAAACCTAGGATTTGAATCCAACTTTCAGTGCAAAGAAAGTGCCTGATTTCCACATTGGGCACATTGTCTGTTTTATCCTTTCTTGAATATACTTATAGCAGGAACATATTATGTCTTGTTTGGCACAAATCCACAGTTGGTGGAAAATTTATGAAATGTTTCAGATGAAGTCTCTCACCTCCAGCCCTGTGAATAGTTCACTTGCCAAACACAAGTTAAAATGGAACTTGTTTGTAGGTGATTCTCTGGAATTATGTTTAAATGTTTTTCAAAATCAAGAATTATAGACTCTGAGCTAGAGCTCTAATCCCAATAAAATTCATTTTTTGGTATTATATAGTGCATGTTAATTGTTGTTGCTGTTTTGTTCTTTAAAAGACCTGAGCATCTCAACATATTTTCAGAGAAAAGAGTCTGAGCATTCTGTTTCGAATCTGCTGGGTCTTGACACTGTAGATGATGGGGTTCATTAAAGGTAGGAAAAGGATGTACATGTTGCCCATAAGGACATGGATCACAGGGGATAGATGCTTGCCAAAATGGTGCACCATTGTTAGGCTAATGATAGGGATGTAGAACACCAGAACAGCACAAATGTGGGAGATGGAGGTCTGCAATGATTTATGCCGCTCCTCCTGAGAGGCAATTGCCAGGACTGCCCTAAGAATCAGCACATAGGAGTAGAGGATCAGAGCAGCATCCAACAACAGTGTGAAAATGACCAGCATCAGGGCGTAGTAGCTATTAAATCTGATGTCTGAGCAACCTAGGCGGAGAAGGTCCTGGTGCAGGCAGAATGAGTGAGACAAGTTGTGGGAATGGCAGTAATGGAAAAACTTCAGATTGATGATGGGGGGTATAATAAAGAAGAAACCCCTAGCTACTGTGGTGAGCCCAATTTTGAAAATCCTGGAATTAGTCAGAATGGAGGAATAATTCAGTGGATGGCAAATAGCGATATACCTATCAAAGGCCATAGTAAGGAGGACAGAGGACTCCATGAAGGATAGACCATGGATGAAATAGGACTGGGCAATGCAGGAATCCAGGCTGATTTCTTGAGTGAACCCCCACAGGATGCCCAGTACCGTGTGCACTGTGGACAGCCCTATGGATAGGTCAGTGAGGGCCAGCATGGCCAGAAAGTAGAACATGGGCTGGTGCAGGCTGGGTTCAGTCCGAATCACATGCAACACCATGCAATTGCCCCAAAACACCAAGGTGTAGGTGGTGAAGAAGGGAATGGAGATCCAGGGATATTGTTGCTCCAGGCCCGAAAATGCAGTGAGAACGAAGGTGGAAGAATTCATGCTAGGGTTTCTCAAAGTGATCATTCTGGCACTGGGACACTTCTTCCAGGCAGCAAGGAAGTGTTGTGGTGGTGGGTATTAAGGAGGGCACATATTGCATGGAGCACTGGGTGTGGTGCATAAACAATGAATCTTGGAACACTGAAAAAATTTAAAAAAAGCAAAAAAAAAATTTCAGATGAGCTAGGTCAAGTTTCTAAGCAGATAAAATTATGCTTAAAGTTAACTAAGTGTAGGAAATATTAGCCAAGTAACTCTGTTCTTTAGAGATATATTATCTGCTGCCTAGAAGAGAATAGTGTCCTCCCGATATCATTTCAGAGCTGTTATTCATCCTCTGGCAGGTGCATGGATGTCCTTAGAAGCCACAAGTGAAAATGAATAGATTAAAAGAGGAAGCTCTTTTCTAGAGAGGATATGTTGCCTCGGATACTTTCTTGGAGATTCTGGTCAAAAGCACAGCTGTAAAATTGAGAGCTGAGGTTCTCAAAGTAATTATGAGTTTCCTCCCCTCTGATTCATTAAATGAAGAGTGAGATTTAGCATTTAAGTATCCAGAATCTATTTAAATAGTCACTGTGTACCCATAATTTTCCATTTTCTGCTGTCTCCAAGTGAATTTTTCCTCCAAACCGTACTTAGACATTCCTGTGTTGTTCCACCCCAGATGACACAGCCAACAAGTGCTTTTTTTCTCTGCAGTGAAAAGCAGAGAGGAATATTTATGCATGAGATCTTTAGTGAGTGATCTCCCATGAGAGCTCTCATGCTGAGATGTTCAGCTTACCTATGCCCTTGTGACAGGGAGACTTGGGCTGAAGACTCTCAGGTTCTGACATCAGCCTAGTGTTCTCCCCCCACTTATTCACTCACTGAATCAGTACATTCAGTATTTATCTAATATACATTTATTGAAGGGGTGAGCGATTTTTTTCTCTTCCTTAGAATGTAGCATAGTAAAGATCAAAAAAGGAAGGCCATGTGGTGCATAAACAATGAATTCTGGAACACTAAAAAGAAATTAAATTAAAAATAATTATAATAATAATTAAAAAAAAAAAAAACGAAGGCCAATGTGGCATAGTCCAGAATTTTAAACAGCCTCCTTTCAATAGCATTAATTGTCTTCTTCCACACATTGTTTTCCTGCTTGGGGTTCTGGCCCTGGGAGTCATCATAAAAGGGTTAAAGGCTCTTAGAGTGTAGGCAGGTGTTTTAAAGTCTACACTGGCTTTTATGTTTCATTTCATCTTTCCAACATGTTCAATTAGCTTCAGATTCTGGCTTCCTGTTGTGACCCATTCCTCATCTTTGTTATCTTAGCACACCAGGCAGCCCTCAGGCTACCCTTCTTCTGAATGCACCCTCTATCAGACACTGTCAAACCCCTTCTAGAATCCTCTCCTCTGTTGTTTCTTGCCCTGAGCCCCAATCCGTGTGAAATAATTTCCCCACTATTTTTATTTGCCTCCTTCCTTGAATGATTGGAGTCTTTACCTTTTGAAGAAAAGTACGTATGCCTTGATCACTTCTTTTCTATCTCATTTGAGTTTTCCTCAGAGTCTTTGTTCTTGGTCTTCTCTCTGCCTAGAATTATCTACTCCAAGTACTTTGCACAAAACCTCCTTTCATCATTCAGGGTTTTACCACTTAGAATTCCTTTTTCTTCCTTGGTGAAGAAGTTCAAGGTAGCTTCCTCAGAGGAACCCTTATAACCCCACCATGAGTGCCCCCATCCTCTCCAATAAATTACTCTCCTAAAAATACCCTGCTTTGTGTTTATACCACTTCTTGTATGCTGGTTTCCCATGAGATCTACTGGGAGCTCTAGAAAATCAGGTGCCATGTCTGGTTTTTGCTCACGGAAATGCAAAGTGAGGTTTAGCATGGAGTGGGCATTTATCAGATAATTATTGAATTACTGGAATACTCTATGAATTCAAGCTGCACATAAAACAAGTTAAAGCAAATGCATTGTAGGAAAAAAAAAAAAAAACCATGAAGGGGCACCTGGGTGATGCAGTGGGTTAAGCCTCTGCCTTCTGCTCAGGTCATGATCTCAGGGTCCTGGAATCAAGCCCCACATTGGGCTCTCTGCTCAGTGGGGAGTCTGCTTCCCCTCTCTCTCTCTGCCTGCCTCTCTGCCTACTTGTGATCTCTTTCTCTGTCGAATAAATAAATAAAATCCTAAAAAAAAAAATACCATGAAATCTCAGCACTCGTATCTTAAAGTAACACATCTGATCTTTGTTGGCCACATGATACCAAACATTGTCTGCCTATAAAAAGTTTACATAATACATAGAACAGATGCTGCCTTAGGCATTCCTGTTGACCTTGGACAAAACACTCGGACTCCAGATATGATTCCTATCATCACAGTCTGACCCAGACATGGAGTTTTGGCCCTGGAATGCTGACAAAAGATTCAAACATTTTGTGAATATAAGCATGCTCTCTTACAAGCTTTTTCTCATACAAGCTTTTTCAGCCTAGCCACAAAGGTTACAGGTGCTGCCTCAGAGAATAACAACCTTTTAGCAATAAACGAGCAACAAATATTGGCGATTGTTTCTAAATTCTGTTTTGAGATAGGATGAGAATCAGGAGAGGATAGTGTTGATGAGAAGAATAAATGACCATTTCAAGAGGGTAGTAGTCACATATGTCAGATGCACAATATGGTTCATTTGTATTGAAAAGGAAAAAACATAAAACGTCATTTTCCAAAACATCATGCTGTGATGCCCCCTCCCTGTCAGTGTGCATAGTATTTCTTTCTGAATTTCTAGCAACCAGAGGAATGCCTAGCATGACATAGATAAGTAGTGAGGACACACAGCAGTCAGTTGGAGTCTAGGCCATGATGGGATTCCGGCAATTGCTCTCTGCGCTTTGTCTGGAATGTGGATTTGGAAAGCATATCTGTGATCAGATTAAACAGATCATTCTTTCAGAGGAATCTTTCCTTACATCCTCCAGTTCAAACTGGCCTCCATGTTCAGGCATCTCTGTCTTTTTTTTCTATTCTTTGGACATTATCCTCTGATTACTTCCTGCCTTTTTCAGATTAAGTAGGGTAATGACCAAGAGTCCTTATTTACTCTAAAGGCCTAGAGGAGGAGTGTTGGATGCAAAAGTTAGATTTTTTATCATTATATTGAATAAAAAATATTTCTGTTGGCCAGAATAGTCCAGGTTTTTGCTTGTCTACTGGTATCATTGTTTAATGACACCTACACGCAACATGCTTTGGACAATAAATTGGAGGATCTCACTCTTGACCAGGTAGTTCTGCTAATGGTCTCATCTGGACACCAGCAGGAGGCAGAAGAAGCCCATTGAATTTTCACCTCCTTAAGGCTGCATAAGCTGCTTTGCTTTACAGCTGGTAAGCATAGGTGAGGCCAAGCAGTTCAGAGTCTTGGTACAGCTAAAGAGATAAGAACCTTCTATAACACTAGTACAAAAATTTGGTGTTCAGGTGTTCTCAGCATGTTAGCATTGGTGTCAACTTTTCCACCACAAACCCAGTATGGGCTTAAAACCCCAGATTATAGGAATGGTGACTATTATTAATTTTGTAAATGTTCTCATTACTGAGTATTACTTGTGCATCTATTCTTACTATGTATTTTATTTATTAGTTTACATAAGATGACTATAAATAATAATCCCACCATGACTGAAATATTGAAAAATGATTGTGCATAATTTAGAACCATGATAAAAAGTTCTATTACATGGTACATCTGTTTAACTGTAGTCATGTGGGTATCTGAGAAGGTTCCATTAGGATTTGTATGGTTGTATTGTTCTATGGCCTAGAGGATCTCCATCAAGGAAATGTATCTGTTTTAATACTTTTTCTACATTTCAGACAAAGTCAGACAACTGATAAAATCCAGACAGAATAAGATGTTAAACCCTGAGTAAAAGATTTAAACTAAGCTGGAAAGTGCAAATGGGAAGTAAATCTAACTTTAATGATACAAGAGTAAGGAGCTAAAGTTTCAAGGATAAATACTTGAAGTGTTACACATATTTTAAACTGTGCCCTGGAAATTACAGGATAGACCAAGAGGATCTAATTCAGCCCCCTCCTTTTCAAGATGAAGAAACTTGCAGGGTTCTAGGAAATGCAGGACTGGAATACACACTGCTAGGCTCCTGCTATTCTCTAGGGCATTTGGATGCCTTCAGTGTGGCCACCAGAATCTCTCTCTTCCTTACTGCTCTTGTTCTCTCATCTTCACTTGTGGAGAAGAACAGCTTGGTCAGCAATAAAAAATATATATATACTTCCATATTAAATCAGCAAGACCTTCAAAAGAGACCTACAAAACCAGTATTATACAGATTTTATATATAGGTATTATACAGATTTATAGTTAGATCTAAAATTAAGATTTATTAATGGTAATGTATATTACCATGATCATCATAACCCGCCCACTAACTTACCTTCATGTAACCACCAGTTTGTTCTCTATAATTAACAATCTGGTTTCTTTTTCATTTTTGTTTATATTTTCTTCTTTGTTTGTTTTGTATCTTAAATTTCACACGTGAGTGAAACCATATAGTATTTTTCTTTCACTGACTGACTTATTTCTTTTAACATTATACCCTCTGGATTCATCATAGATTTTGCAAATAGTAAGATTCCATTCTTTTTTTTTTAAAGGTTTTATTTATTTATTTATTTATTTATTTGAGAGGAAGAACTGGAGAGAGTGAGCAAGCACTACTGGGGGGACAGAGGGAGAGAGAGAAGCAGGCTCCATGCTGAGCAGGGAACACAATGTGGAGCTTGATCCCAGGACCTTAAGATCATGATCTGAGCTAGAAGGAGATGCATACCCAACTGAGCCACCCAGGTGCTCCAAGATTTCATTCTTCTTTATGGCTTAGTAATATTCCACTATATGTATGTATATGTGTGTATATATATCATATGCATTATATATATATATATATATATAAAAGAATATGTGAGATATCTCACATATTCTTAATCCATTTATCTATTTATGGATACTTGGGTTACTTCCATAGCTTGACTATTGTAAATAATGCTGTGTTAAACATAGAGGTACCTGTATCTTTTTGAATTAGTGTTTTCAAATTCATTGGGTAAATAACAAGTTGTGGAATTATTGGATCATATGGCATTCCTATTTTTAATTTTTTGATCGAATCTCCAACTGTTTTCCACAGTGGCTGTGCCAGTCTGCATTCCCACCAACAGTGCATGATGGTTCCTATTTCTCCACAGCCTCTTTAATATTTGTTTCTTTTGCTTTCAGTGTTAGCCATTCTGACTGGTGAGGTGATATTTCACTCTGGATTTGATTTGTATTTCCCTGATGATAAGTGATGATGAACATCTTTTCATTTGTCTGTTGGCCATTTGTATGTCTTCCTTGGAGAAATGTCTGTTTAGCTTTCTGTCCATTTTATTATTACTATTATTATTTGGGATTTTTGGTATTGAGTTGTGTTAGTTTTATCTATATTTTCGATATAAACCCTTTATCAGATACCTCATTCGCAAATATCTTCTCCCATTCCATAGGTTGTTTTTAGTTTTGTTGATTGTTTCCTTTGCTGTGCAGAAGCTTTTTATTTTGATGTAGTCAATAG